CGTTCTGAATGCACTGAATTACACGAAATTGGTCTACAGTCAGACCAACGCAAGAAATATGAAGCTTTACACTGCAGAGACTGCATGTAATCGCATTTGCTCGATGCCCAACGACTTTGCAGCAAATTTCACAATGAGAGTGCTTCGCCATTTCAAAAATAAGTACCGATCGATACGAGAAAATCAGTGTAATGAGGAGGTACAGAAGTTATGATAAATTATTACAAGTAGTTAGGTCGTAGAACGCTAAATGACTGACTAGAATGAACTACGCCAACCTAGAGGACCAAACTGCTATAACTATGAAAACAACGAGATAAACCGGACTTGACAGGACACGAGCAAGTTACCACTGGGATCGACGAAACGCTAGGCAGAGAAAACGAGAAAATTACGGCAGAAATGGATCCAAATATATCACTGGATAATGCAGAATCAAAAATTACAGAGAATTATATAACTTATGACAAGAGATATTCAATATATGACACAATAAACTGGAATAAACTGGCCTTGGAGCGGAGCGAAATATTTCACACCGGAGGCTGTGTACTGTGCTCCTGCCGTGAATCGGCGTAAATTTAACATTCTCTCCCTCGCTACTGTAGCGAAATGTATTGAGCTGGTGAATACGATGGCTGCACAGCTGTGTGATGTGGAATGCATAGCCACAGTGGGCGACCTGTGGCACCACATTCGCGGCCACTTGACAGCTGCTGCTGAAAAGACCGTCGGGCACGCAAACTGTAAGCGTCCTGATTGGTTTGATGAGAACAATGCGACGATTGGCGCATTGGTGTGTGAGAAGAATGCAGCATTTGTTGCACATGTGGCAGACCCCAGTGACTTGGGAAAAGGAGTCAGTTTCGCAGAAATCGACGGCGACTGACTCGCGAGCTCCGTCGCAATAAAAATGCATGGTGGACGGAGAAGGCGAAGCAGATGGAATGCTACGCCGAACGCCGTCAACACAAGGAATTCTTTGACTCTTTGAAGGCGGTGTATGGACCGAGGTTGAAGCTGTTGAGGACGCTGATCGATGGTAGTTCAAGCGCTACCTGTACACAGACTGCAGACATAATGCAGATCTGGCGGAAACACTTTGAGTATCTCTTGAACAACCGTTCGGAGCTCGACTGGCCTACCTTGAACGGCCTTAAGCAGTACGACGTAAAGGCGAGTCTGGCAGACACGCCGACACTGGATGAGACGCAACGAGCACTTTGCTCAGCTGCGAAACGGCAAATGTGCCGGAGCCGACGGGATCCCGCCTGAAGTATTGAAACACGGCGGACCCGCGTTGGTGACTGCGCTGCACCACTTGGTGCAACGCGTATGGATTGAGGAGGAGGTGCCTGCTGAGCTGAGGTATGCCCTTGTGCTACCACTGCACAAGGGCAAATGGAGCAAGCAATGTTGCACGAATTATCGTGGCGTCAACTTGCTGAGTTGTGTGGGCACGGTGATTACCCGAATCCTGCTCAACCGCCTTGTCAGTCAGGTTGTGGAACTGAACTTGCCGAAACGGCATGTGTGGATTCCGTTCGGGTCGCTGCACTATGGACATAGTGCAGGGAAGGACACCAGCCGTTGAACTCCCTTTTTATTGATTTCATTAAGGCATTTGATACGGTGAACCGCGAGGCATTGTGGCTGGTGTTGGGTAAGTTTGGTTGCCCGCGTAAGTTTGTAAGTTTAATTAAATGTCTGCACAGTATTATGCGAGCGAGAGTGCATCTGAGTTGAGAGACCTCGGATGATTTTGCAGTTGTCACTGGTGTGAAGCAAGGCTGTGTCTTAGCTCCTGCCCTGTTTAATATCTATCTTCATGCCATGTTGTCTTGTGCTTTTGATGCCGCTTGTGCTTACGGTGTTCGTGTGGAGCACCGTATTGATGGTGGGTTGCTGTACATCAGTCGTTTCGGTGCGAGAACTCTAGTCTGTGAGACAACTATCCGAATGTTGCACACAGCGCGGATGAGTTGCAGCACATGACTAGTGTTCTGGCTTCGACAACGATCAATGTCGGGCTCACCATCAACATAAGCAACACTGTCTGTTTTAGCCTTTACCGGAGGTGCAATCTTCCATATTGCCGCGAATCAGCATTGGTGCTGAAGTATTGGAAACCACCTCCCGCTTCTGCTACCTTGGGAGTGTGATGTCGACTGACCAGCAGCTACACAGGGAGCTGCGTATCCGCGTGTCGAAGGCAGCGGCAGCATTCGGGAAGCTAGAGTACCGAGTGTGGAACAACCATCAGCTTACCATTGGCACGAAGCCGATGGTGTACAAATCCATGGTGCTGTCCGTTCCTATACAGCCTTGAAACGTGGATGATGTATCTGCGGGATATGCGATATCTCAAGCGATTCCATCAGCAGTGTTTGCGACGGATTTGCGCATCGGTTGGGGCGACAGAGTTACTGACACGGAACTGTTGCGACAAAGTGCAGTTTATGCAGTGGACTGCATACTTTTGCTGAGACACCTTAGATGGCTCGGTCATGTGAGCCGTATGGATTCGACGCGGATACCGAAACAACTCTTATATGGTCAGCTGAGTATTGGGAAGCGGCATGTGGGGAAACCAAAGTTACGTTACTAGGACATAATCAAAGTGAGCCTCTCACGTTCTAATCTTGATTGCAGGTCATGGGAATCGAAGGCGGTTGATCGGCGTGCATGGCGCGATCTGGTCACGAAGGCAGTTGCCGAGGTGCTGGAGAAAGACCTCATGCATGCCGAGAAGAACTGGCAAGTGCGGAAGCGACAAGCACCGATGGGTTGTACTCCATCGACATCGAGCGCATGGTACTGTAGCACATGCGGTCGCGGGTGCCTGAGTCAGGCTGGCCTAGTGAGCCATGAGTGAGGCCACTCGGGACCACCACGGAAGCGACGACGAGTCCTGCCGATAGATCTCAATTTAACTCCACGTTGTTTCGTGATCGGAATCGCCTATTGGGTTGTATTCACATTTGAGCAACCGCTTATCATCTTACTGCAAACGGTCTTGTCGCACGTTTTCATTGACAGCTAAAAGTCGCCATCACATCCAGTTCAGTTGATATAGGTTAGTCTGAATGCATTCCAGCCGTCGTTCTTGATACGTGATACCGCTAAGGATGATATTGAATGTTGCCCTGCCGAAATCGTCTTTGGCACAACTCAAACTACCAGGTGAGATGATATTAGGTTCTTGAGTCACTGGAGAATGGGATCCCGTTTCTTCCGCTGAACGCTTAAAACAGAACTTTCGAGCCATTTGACCTACTTCTCCTCGAATCACTGTTCGCGAACGAATTCTTCCGGGTTTACTTGTCCGTTCGTTTTCATTCGCATCGAGACAGTTCGAAACCCTTTAACACCTACGTATGAACGCTCATTCAAGGTGTTATCACGTAAACCCAAGTACTTCATCTTGGAGAAGAATGGATCAAAGGAATCCTGCTTATGTTTAGTCTATTGTAGAATAATCAGACAAAATGCTGTGATTGGTTCCAGGTTGCTGCTTCCTCTTAGTCAACCGACCGGTGCTTGATGCATCAGAACCTTCATGCACTCGCTCAGCGAACGATTCTAGACACATGTTCAGGCCGTTCTGTTACTTTCCTCTCCAAACTAACTAAATTTGTTCCTTAAACAGCTTGCTCGAGTGTTTCCTTACCAATTCACGCTCTACGAGGTGGATTATTTGAAAAAGGAAGAAGAGAAAGCCATAAACAATGCGCCAGTACACAATACCGACGCTTCGCTGCCGCGCTACTACCATCAGTTGCACGTAGGCTAAGGATGCCGTTGGAGTCGCCGGGTCCCTATGCAGGGAGTTACGTAGTTGTTATTGCTGTAAATTGTTTCTTTCGCATAATCAATTTTATCACGACACTTCTTTAATTGACAAAAAACATATACCTCTTCGAAATCGGCACTCACGTCGGATGACTTTTGGCTGTGCTGCTTTGCAGTTTACTTGAAAGACATACTTACCGCGGAATTACTATCGGGCCTGTATCCACTGTAACGAAACGTAACTGTGATTTGACTATGAGTGTTTTCATTTCCTAAGGAATTGATAGTTCTTTGGTAATTTGCGAAAGCTTAATCTCGTAATCATCTTGTGGATGTTGGGATACAATTCATTGGCCAGGGTTAGTAAATTTGGTTATCGGTTCAGATGGCAATTTTCGCAACAGCCACAGTACATGATGTATGACTCCAGTTAGGGCGTGCGAAAATGCCGTCTGAGATCAAATTTGCGTACAGTGACCAACGCAAAGCGCACATACTATAGCCCTCCCCTGTGACTTTATTACTTTTCGTCGATTGAAGGAGTTAAGGTATATTTCAGGTGCAGCTGTGATCATGACTCGGTCTCTAAATGGAAACTCCTAGACATGATTTCCAATAAAAGCTAGCAGGACAAACACTCTACGTCCCTCTTCCATTTATCTCCTGCTCGTTCGTTCGGGTCCCGTTCTCCGTTTTGAACACATCTTCACATCGTTATCGCCGGCGTATCCTCTATTGGTTATTTTTACGGCTCTACTAATTATTTTTCTTATTCCTGTGGTTGTCACGAGATCTGGCATCATGACTGAATGAAACCTGCTTTGCATTTATCTTAACTTTTTGTTTATGCTCATTTCTGCATCCCTGCTATATTGCTGGTAACTTGTGTGAATTATCTTTCCCGCTTCGCCACTCGCCTTCCAAATATTTAGGTGTTTCTCGTTCTCTAATAGTTACTCAAGCTACGGAACCTGGCTGTGTGCGATGTGCTTGACGTCAGACAAAATTTCAAATGTCATGGCTTGTTTCATAACTGTTGCTTCCACTAAGCTGTGTGATACATGCCTCAACTCCATTCGTGGATGGGAACTTTTGTGATGACACATGGTCTTTCCAAGTGTTCACGCGACATGTGTTTTGAAAGTTTTACGCAAAGAAACAGGTTTCCTTTTTTAAATGTGTGAAATGAGATTTTGTTGTACATTTCAGATGCCTGGGGACGCTGTCGATAATTTAAAAACGACAGTCGTCAAACCAATAGTGTACGGAAACGTTTCTCGCTATTTGGGGAAAAAGCGCGAAGAGGATGGAAGGACACACCAGTGGACGGCTTTTTTGCGTCCGTTTAATACCAATGAAGATCTTTCAACATTTATCAGACGTGTGCAGTTTAAGTTGCATGAAAGCTATGCTAATCCAATCCGTGTAGTACACAAGCCTCCATTCGAACTCACAGAGACTGGATGGGGAGAATTCGATATCACTATGAAAGTAGTTTTCACCGATCCCAACGAAAAACCACTCGTCATCACTCACTTGATCAAGCTGTTTCATTGTGACCACGAGATTATGATGGGTCACAAGAGCTTAGTTCGAGAAATTTACGACGAGATGGTGTTTGTCGATCCGTCGCATACGTTCTACAGATCTCTCATGAGCAAATCCTCTTTGAGCACTCCCACTGCACCGCACGAAACAGATTTCCAGGAACTAAAGTGCCGCACTTTGGCTTCCATCCAAGACCTGAACATAAAGGTGACTCGTGCCATACAACTTTTCAGGGATCAACTTACAACGAGTAAAGAGATTGTCGAAGAGGTGCGAGCGGCGGTCGCTGAACTGGAACATCCATTCGCTACCAAAATCACCTAAACATTGTAATGTGCTAGTCTTTCGTTTTTATTTACACGTACGCATTGGAAACTCCTTGTGTATCAATTGTACATAAAGTTGACGTCATAACAAAACCGGAAATCGAGAATATCCTGCTTCTGATATGTTTTGCAGACTAATCAACACGGTGGGTATGAGCGCGGTATTCCAGCGATGAGCACAAATACTAACCGATAACTGCGTTTTTCACCAATGCCAGAATGAGTGCTTTAATTGATGCTATGCGAATACATTTATCACGGCTATCGATCACCAAATTGTGCATATAGGCTCCGCGTTTGTCGCTCACCTACATCGCGGTTATCACGTTGATCAAGTCATTCTCTCTTTTCACGTCACAGTCTCAAATCCCGTTGTTAATGTTCTATGACATTATACAAATCCGTTACGAGTGAACAACGCTGTGTCTACGAGTCATGGTCAGTATTCGTCGTAAAGAAATCAACTTAACAGTTTAATCCAATCGCATGCATTTGGTCAGTGTTTTCTGTAGGATCCGATAATAATCCCTGGCGTATTTCTCTGACAACTCACAATTCCGGAAGGAGCATTTCATTATAATCGGATCACCTTCCCGCACCGCTATGACGCACACAGATTTTGACATGCTTCCCAACGAGAATTTAAAGACTGATTTAACATAAGAATAGGACTACAGAGTTGGACAGAATAGCGACTTTTGTCACTATAAACGGCAGTGCAACTTATCATAATGTCCATCTTATATCTGATCTGACGCTGTTGAAATGTGGTAAACCTAAGAGCGGAAGTTGTCTAAATAATTGGGAATGTTGTCTTGAAATTACTGTCAGGCACGACTCAAACACTAGTCTTCAAAGGTAACACGTAATCGGTATGTCAAATACGTTGTAGCATCCAAAAGTGAGACGGCTGGACCCAGCATACATTACATGAGGAGCCATAAACGATCCCAGGCAAGTAGGCTAGGACAGCATATCGCGCAACCCAAATGGAAGATGTTAAACGGGTTGACGATTTGGCGGCAAAGAGAACATCGAAACTTACTCTTTCGGCATTTACATCGTCGGATTTTGTTTGGTTCCTTACATTACATTAACATTTCCAGAAGCATAGGAATATGGAGACATGTAATTACCACTCAACAGACCGAGGAACCTTATTGACTAAAAATAATCCAATGTTTATATAACGGAAGTTGTTAAATGAAGACGGCAGCGCTTAGAAATAAGAGGAGTTACGTGCGAACGCTAGTACATTCGCCATTAGGACTCCATGAACTGTATAAAAAGGAGGGCATCAGCAGTGTACCAATATGTCGTACTGACGCTTTGCTGCCACGAGACCACCATCAGCCCCGCGCGCGCTAGGACTATTGCATGACCCCTTGCACATACGCAGGTTCGAACCAGTGACCTCTGACTAACAGGAACGCTACCCTTCTAAACGTCACAGTACTGATTGCGGTTTAGAAGTGCAGCGTCGTTACAATACAAGGACTAGACGGGGTTTAGTTATATTCGCATGCGCCAGAAATCAATTCTCACCTGTTTCCTTCTCACTAACACCTATCTGGTAAAAGTAACAGCTACGATCCGACTCTTTTGGATGTCAGACGAAACCATTACCCATAGGCCCCCGAATTGCGGCGGCTAATACTCGTCACGATGATCAATGACTGATTTGAAGGGTTGTTTTAAATTACTTGTGACCATCGCAATGACGCTGGACCTTACCGCGGTGCGATGGTTTGTGCACCTCAGTGATCCATTGAACTATGCTGGGTGGTGCTTTTTTGCACCTTCAGAGCCAGTCATACCAGATTGGTCAATGGTTAGAAGTCAGACAAACTCAGCCGGTTTGGGGGTTGTAATGAGGGTAGCTGCTTATTCCTTAAAACAGACTTCTTGTAGCCGAACGCCAAATCCGCTGCCTTGCGGTCAGGTTTTTGAACTAAAGTCTTTGATTGAGAACCCTAATCGTTCTCCTGACTATGCCTGGGCAACCTGACAGTATCCTGCCCACGCAACACTATAAATCTTCCGTCAAATAATTTCCTGATGATTTGGCCACCGCAGAGGATAATCAATGGTGCCCTATCTGCTGCATCGAGCAGGGTGGATAGGGGTTCGGATGCTACTTCTCAAGCCTTCCCATCTTATTCCTCCTCTTACGCTTTTTCACCCTTATCGTCCCGTTCCCGCTTCACTTTTATCCCCTTTGTTTACAACTCCCAATTTTTGGCCCTCCCCCACCTTGCTTTGATAGGCTTTTACTTCTAGTTTCAACTCACATCTAAACGCGGAGCATCCCTACCCTGTCGACAAGCTCATGTCCAAGCGAGCAGGCAAGCCCAGTGTTCATCGGGTTCCATTTGGAGCCCTCGATCCTCAGATTGGCATGCCTCAATGTACACACATTGCTACAGATCGGTCAGAGAACCTCTCGATCGATACCTGTTGCTTATCAGAGACCCACCTGCAATACTCGACCTCATTGCTCACTTTGAGATCTCCTTCAGGTATCACCAGCAGCGCTTTCTCATTGCGCCTATCCGGCGACGAGTAGTAGCAGTAGTCAGCAGTCTATCAAATAGGCATAGAGCCAAACATGACCATAGAAATCAGTAAAAGACAGATTGAACACCGTATCAGCATCATGGCACATTAACAGAAGGTGTGCAACACACTTCAGCTATTGTGCCACAATATAAAAAGCATCGGAGCATTTTTTTGTTATTTTGCACACGCCATTTTTAATTCTTTTATTTTCTTAACCGTTAAGCATTCAGCATCTAAATCTAAGCAGTTATATGCACACATCCTCCACTTGTTTCCATTACGAGCCATATCCTGAAGTGTTTCCAGCCAACGGCGTTCCTCGTCCTTTGGTCCCCAACCCAGAAGACGTGCGGATCCAATGGTGGCAAGACGTGAAGTCAACGATTTCATTTGCTGTTGCCAGGTGGATGGAGGACAACCGTGTGGTCTCTTCCAGTTGAGTTCTGCACGAGCGAACAGACTGCGATAGGGCAAACGCTCAGCTGACATAAGCAGGACATAACAGAACCATCTTAACTGGCCCAGCAAAAACTAGCTTTCTGTAGGGAATACTCGCATTCCCTAAGACACGACGTCCGGCTTCACTACTGCAAATGTAATGTTGCCACTATACACGAGCAATCCTCCTCAAGCACCTGTTGTCGAAGGCAGAGAGCCAGCGCATATCGTTTACGCGAATTGGTCATGACTCGCTTCCATATAGCAACGCCGCCCGAACGGTGGCATTGTAAACGCGACCCTTTACCAAGAGGGAGATATCCCGACGACGCCACAAGTGTTGCAGGTTGACAAACGCCGACCGAGCTTTGGCGATGCGAAGAGAAACTTCCTTTCTAATGGTACCACCAGCAGCCACACAGCTTCCAAGGTACACAAAGTTATCCACTTGTTCAAGCTGTGTACCTTCAACATTGTACAAGGGAACAGTTGAGTGCCAATCCTGAAGCAACACTTTACGCCGATTGTAGACTTGCGTCCGCACGGTCCATGGCATCGTCGCACCAAATTCGCTCAGATTAAACTGCATCCATTGCACACAAAGCAGCCTGTGCAGGGATTAAACATTTCCTCATGGCTGGCTAGCCGAACAACCTCCACTTGGTTCCAACCGGGTGGTACGGGTTAATCCTGTTCCAGCAAATGGTCCGGCGGCAGTGTTTTAAAACGTGGTGGGTTATTGCCTGGCAAGCTTTCTCCCTATAAAATGCCACAGACGGCTGTTTAACAACACTGTGATGCGGCGCATATGACTCGCCACTAAATAAAGTCACTGCTTCCTCCCTTTCCCGAGGATGTTACACCACTCACGGACGTCAGCAAATTCGAAGCTCTTATTTGATCCCTTCCTATGTTGGCGAATTCACCGAACACGACCACAAATTCAGCACAACAGTAATAAATTCACGCAACCTGGTTTATATATATATATATATATATATATATATATATATATATATATAACGCCAGTATGCACTGGTTACATAGTAACGCTTGTGACAAGTACTGAATATGCGCTCTGTACTACTATGATCATGCCTATTTTGGCGTCCAGCACAGTTGGGAATAAAACATTTATTTATTGCCCTTTCATCGTAAGTCGCATCCACTTCCGTAATGGATACCGTCATTATAATGATTGCATTAACGTTATAAAAGGCGATACTTGTACAACACTGATGTTACCCACGTTGACCTCGTCTCATTTATACGTTTTTACTATATGTACATTGCCTCGGAGAGTGTGGTGCCGCCTCTGGTTACGGCGCACAAACCATTTCTCAGTGTTCACGCTTTGTGGGTTACGAGCGATTTACGCGCTCACCCGCGAGGTCGGAAATATTTGCGAATGGTTTAATCGCCCTGATCCGTTAATGCATCATGCTTCTATGTTTCTTTTGATGGATTCCGTCAACTACTGTTTATTAAGTAAACTTTTACCATGTCTTTTTGATACCGTTGTACTGGCCTTACATGAGTGGGCGATATCATCTCGCATCACAATAGTTCTGCACCACCTCCGGCACGCATGTGGATAACAACAATCCAGGTGCGGCATAAATGGAACCACCACAGTTCCAAAAAATACCATGGGCAGGTAAGTGCGTTCGTCTAAACGCAATGTCGGAGCACGTGGACTTGGTCTCTTCTGTGGTGCATTTGTTCATTGAGTTGTAGAGAGCAGGTGGGAAAACCCTTGTCAACCCCATCGCTTCCGTATCATACTGGGTTTGATGCGTGTTGTTGCATTACGAAGTTCCTCTAAAGTTTGTCGCAATTGCAGTGACGGCCGGAAGATTCCAGCATTCTTGGCGAATGTTTGTCTAGCAGCCGCTTGAACCCTTTCTCGGATGAGGCGTCTGCAATTTATTCCCTTAGGCCGTTCCAATCATTTACCACAATAGTGGATAGGGTGACGTCCATGGGAATTCTGTCTTTTTGGCTTATATAGTTTCCAGGTGTGACCTCGTATGGAACAGTCAGTATTGGGCCGGAAGAATTGCTGTAACTCACTTCCAAGTTACCCTCGGAGGATGCTCCTAGTGTAGATGAGATCACCCTGGCGACTGCGGAACTCCAGGGAGAACAGATTTAACTCGTAGCGATTGTAAACAATGTGCTTATTTTTTTATTTTCACGCTTACCTATTTCGTTGAAGTTGTTGTACAACTTTGTTTTAATTAACTGTATAGATATA